TGCATTTTACGTGAGAGTGTGGCATAGCTTTATGCAGATTGGGCCATGATAAGGTTGTTAGTAATCAGCTTATTTCAAAACAGTGTGCTGAGCGAAATGCAGAGTTCACCTTGTTTTCTGAAAATTAGAGGTTTGAAGGCTATATAAAATTGGTTCTAGTTTTGAAACCACCTTGGCAGTTATTAGTTTTCAAATTACTTTTTTGAGGGTAGTGTGCACAGCTGCTATGTAAAGAAACAGTCTTTATGGGTACACAGTGTCTTTGAAAATCAGATTCCTTCCCCCCCTCCCGCCCCCCCCAAGTTCTCCTTTGCCAATAGTTGAGCAGGCCATTGTGGGGTTTGGGTTTAATTCTCTGGCATTAACAAAACAGCATATCTGATGCATTAGAAGACATCAGAAGGAATCTTACTGTTCTGCTTAAAGATAGAAAGAAGGGTGCAGTATCTGGGGCCCACTGAAACCATTAGAGTTCCCTGGCTGGGTTTTGTGGGTGTTACCCAGCTAAAGATCTTCAGCCATTACCCCACAGGTTTACCTGTACATTTCAGAGTACCAAGCCTGGTAGCTTATTCTACAGGGGTGCCAGGTTGCAGAAAAAAATATTTACTTTCTTTCTTTCTTCTTTATTCTAGTATATTTGTTTTCCCTAATTCTCTGCCACATAACCAAGGAAAGTAAATCTAATGACTAAGTAACCTCTCACGTTGGATTATGTTTTAGATTTCTTATCAGCTTCCATTGTGTAAGTATAGTCTGACTCATGGGAGAAGAACTGTTATCAAATGTATGTTTCTTTGAAAATTTTGGTAAAAGATAATCATTTATAATTTTTTTATATGTCTTAAACCTCGTTTTGCTCATGCCACACTTTCCTGAACAGACAGATAGTGTGTAGCTGGTGGGGCTTTACTGACTTCCCTGATTAATGTTTCCAACTCTTTATTTGATTTTAAGTATAAACTGTGTTAGGTGGAAGAAATCGTACAAATCTGCAAAGATTTATCATGTTGTTCATGTATTAAAGTTGCACCTATATGCATGGGGAGGATGTGTATGGGCAGTGATACCACAAACAGTACTAACCATTACAACTGTTGCAGAGTTGCCTAGAAACTGGATCTATATGACATTGTGTTCTGGCAAGTTAGATTCCCAAGAACTTGGGCACCTACACATTTAAAATATCAGTTCCCAAAATCTGGATCCATTAAGTCCCATCTTGGCTTGCAACTGCAGAAGTTTCTTAGAGCTGTAGGTACTCCAGAGGTCTGCTGCCATTCACAAACAGAATTACCTGTGTCTTGAATGTGCTGAATTGCCTGGTATTTTTCCTACCAGGTACTATCTAATCCACATCTTATACATTTAACACTAGTTCTTTTCATCTACCTCATTTGGACTACAGAAAGAAATAGTTTCAACTGGTGGGATTAGAGGCTTTGTAAAATGACTAACCTGCATTCAAAGCTTTGCTGCGTATCAGGTAGAGGAAGGACTCGAAGATGAATTGTTTGTAACATACATTTGTGAGCGTTAATTGAGTATTTGCTAAAAAGGACACTGATACCTCTTCAGTTGGCTTTTTGGTTGTTGTTTTTTCTTTTGTGAGGGAGGACAGACCATGCTGAGCAGTTTTAACTGCAGGATGAGGCTCACAGTTGTGAATGGAAGTAGATTTCAGTGACGAGGTCACTTCTAAAGGGGATCCTAAACATATCTCCTCCCCTGATATTTTCTCTTAGCTGGGTCAGTCAGTTGATAATTAGACCTCTCTATTTGTTGAGCAAGGAGCCTAAAGATACTGGCTTGCAGCTGTGAATTCTGCTGGGTAGAAAGACACTATAGTCAGAGATCATGACAAAACTTAAGCAGTTTTAGTAAAATGCAAATGAAATGTAGAAACCATTCTATCCCTAAGAGACCGCAGTGTAAATTGGCAAAACAGAGAAAAGCTGTGAAGCAGAGGTATTTCTGTCTCACAGGTGAGGGACTGGTGTGTTGGCTTGCTGAGGTTCATAAAACAAACTTCAGCTGGGATCAAACATAAATGTCTTAACAGTAGAAGGCATCAGAACCAGAAGGAATTTGCTCACTACATGCCGATCTTTATTGCTGGGAAATCAGAGGACCAAAGCCTCTGTTTGGGGTCTTTTGGGGGGTCTTTTTTTACTTGAAAATGTTTTCCATTTGAAGATTTTATGCACGTATACAGATTTTTCCAGGATCCATCTCTGACCAAGCGAGGATCAGCTGTACTCTACGTGCAAAAGAGACCAGATGCTCACAGAAACATTAAGTGTACACGCAGCTAGAAAATTGTATTAAGGTAAGATAAATACATCAGATACAGAGATAGGAAGCAAAGTTTAGAGTTCTGACTATCAGGTCAGACTCTGTATGGAAGGTAATACGCTTCCCTAATTAACAAGAGCACCTTGCCTTCTACAAAAGCCACTAGTGGTCATATGCCATTTTTCCTTTTTTAAAATAAGAAAAATGGTTGCAATATCACTTGGAATCATACAAAGTTTCTTTCAATTTTTATACATTTTGTATGTGTCTAAAAATCTGGAGTTATCTGTTAGTTCTAGATTGTTTTTTCTCCAACTTTGTCTTTCTGTTCTTTAAAAGGAAAAGAAATTTCTCAACTCTTAAAATGGTTCTCAGTATTTGCATAACAAGTGTGTAAGCAAAACTAAAAAGGCTCATTTGTGCCCTCATTATTCAGTCTCCACTTCAGCAGTGTCATTTAACAAACACGACACTGTATAAAGGGGACTTGCGTGAACTGCTCTTTCATTTCGCTTTGAAGGAGAAGGGTAAGTTGAATTTCCTTTTAATAAATCACAAGGATCTTCAGCTAGAAGGCAAACCTGTTCCTTTTCATTTCCATGGTCATATTTACATTTTAAAATTAAGTTTTCCTTTACTAGGATTTTTTTACTTTGCTTATATTAGCAATTTTAGTAGATGAGGAGATGCCTGAAGGACACCAGATTGTAATGACTGATGAAGGTCATTAAAAGTGGATTAAAACTGAAGAGCTGTTTTTTCCATTGTGCTACATAACTGATCAGGACTCTGACTCTGCATCATAATCCAATTATGAGCTGGATGCAGTAGTCCCTTCAAATGTAATTCCCTGAATGATCAGCACCAGACGGAGAATACCTGTTGTAATTGCATTTCCTTATCTCAGGGATGTAAGTATTCCTAGCCACCTAAGGTAGGTTTCTCTTAGAAACTTTATTAATCTGCTCTCTGAGTCATTGGCCAGCATTGTCAGAGGTGTCTGCTAGCCTTCAATATAGTCAAGGGTAAACAAGTTGAGACACTTCAGATTTAACACACAAAACTCAGCAGTGTGTGTGTTCTCAGGTGGATTTGAAATTTCCACTTGTTAAAGTGGAAATTCTTGACCATGAGGAATAGGCACTGCTATTACTTAAACAGACTCTATATACAGCAAAATGCTGACATTTATGAAATTGAATATTCTCATCTTCAAGGCTATGTCCCACTGAATTGCTTTTGATGAGACATTCCTGTAGAAAAACAAGTGAACTTTGCCCTTAAAAATAGTTGGTATTGATGCAGATTTAGGATAATGTCAAAAGCCTTCTACGATAGAGTCAGTCTAGAAGGTATAAACAATACCTTTTTTTTAAAAAAAAAAGCTCAGATCAGTTTTAGTGTATCCATTTAATAAATGGTAATAATAATAAACTGATATTTTGATTCTGCTTGACATGTGTGCTTTGAAACAAATACCTTGTTTTAACTGATGAACCCAGCTGTTAATAATCTTGCAGCGTTCAAGCCAACCAAGATTTTATACTCAACTTTAAGTGGAGCTGGGTGTAGAACGTATTATGTGTCAATTGAAATGATCTTGTCAATTCTGAATTTTTTAAGGATGGAAGTTTTTAAGAGAGTGTAGTGCATGATCCTCTCTAATTTGTGCCAAAAGAAAAGTGAAGTCATGGCTAGTAAGTTATATGTTTTGTATGACAGTCAAACTATCGGGGTCATGTCATTAGAAAGGGATACTCCTTCTGGCATCTTGAAACTTTCTGTATCTCTCTTGTTAACTGAAGAATACCAATAACCGTATATATCTCCATGCCATAGTGTCTTATAGTCCATCCACTCGGGTTTTATAACCGCACAGCATTACCAGTGCCGCATACCCACTAGCTGCATTGTAAACCCATGATCTATAGTTTCAGAGTGCTTTTTAGTCATGATATCTGGGCGCTGAGATTATAACCCTACTTAATGTTATATCTTAGAGGATAAAATGAGATGAGCAGGCCTATTGCCATCCAGCAAAAATTCATTTTCTACAAGACTAACTCTGACATTTTCAAGCTTGTGGAATTTTGTTCAAAACAAGATAGGCATGTCAGTTGAGCTATAAAATTTTGCCTGTGTGTAAAACACTCTATCAATTGGCTTGTTTCAAATAAATGTGCTGAAATAGTAGTGTGCTTAAAGAGATTGCTAACTAGCTCCAAACCGTCATAACCACTGTAACCAATTGTGCCTTTCAGGTTGGTAGCATATGCATCTATGTTTTGTTGAGTGATTATAGCCCTTACAGACAACTAATGGCTTAAGTGTGATCAGTTACATCTAAGCCCTTCATTTCTCAAGGATTAATCCAACAAATAGTCAGTGATAGCAAAAAGGATTATTTGTCTTCACTGCTCCCAATGTGTAGCTGTCATTCTGTAATGACCATACCAGTCTGTATCAGTCTAGAAACAGTTTGTACATAAGCTATGCAATGGTAGCAAAATAAATCTGGGAAATCTCTTATACGTAAACTATAGACTTTATTTAAACAAGGAAAGAATGTAAATTACAAGATGAGACGAATGGGGGGGGGGAAGAGAAGAAAAAAATGTTCAATTACATAAGCCAATCTCCACAGTGTCTTACAGAGTCACTGCCTGACAAATATGTGGGTTTTCTTACAGCTGGCCTGAGCAATCATGAGGTCTTACTCGTCCTACGTGCTCATAGCAGTAGCTACTTTGCTAGTGACTTGCCACGCACTGCATAAATGTCCAGGAATTCCTGGTATCCCTGGACTGCCTGGAAGAGATGGTCTGAAAGGACAGATACATCTACCAGGTAAGTAAATTTCCCTTTTTTTGCAACGAATCCTTGTCATGAAGGCTGCATGAATAAAAACAGTTGACACAGAAGGGTATATGCCCTCAAGGAAGCAGCTGCATTAAGCAGAGGAGGGAAAACAGAATGGAGGAAATGGTCAGTTTAATTTTTTTTTTTTTCTAAAAGATAGGCCTCCTCTCTCTTCTGGGAGAAGAGGGGAAACTAACAGGTTATCAATCCTTAAATATATAATATAAATAAATATATATATCTCTCTCTATCTTGGTAATGCTTTTCCATTGTCTTTCCAAAGGGAATTGCTTCTTTCACAGCAGAAGCTTTTCTTTTTTTTTTTTTTTTTAAGTATGAATAAAATGTTATTCCACTATTTACAAGTGTAATGAAAAGGCTGCTGGCATCTTTCTCTAGTATTCAAAGATAGTATGTGCAAAAGCAGTCTGGTAAGGAACACACTTTGCACTGTGTCATTTTCTTTCTATGCAGAAATGCTTTCCCCAGGTCCATTAACAAGGCTAAAGCACATTATTCATAGATGTAACTCATTTCAGTTTAAGTTCTATTTCACCCTGAAGTTTCCAGAATATGCATAAATTTGAAAGAAAATTGTGCTTCTCTTTTCCAGGTCTCCTAGGACCCCCTGGAAGCCTGATAGGACGTCCTGGAAGACATGGTCTTCCTTGGCTGCAAGGTGAGAAAGAAGAAAAGGGGGATATTGGACCACCCTGTGAAAAAAGCTGATGTACTCATAATGTTCTGTCAGTCAAACGGCCTCTCTTTATTGGGTCAAATATGTTGTTTTTTATTGACTGTGAAGTGCAGTACGAGTTGCAACACTGCAACTTGGAGAGAGGGAGACACAGCAATATTTTGTACTTCTACATTGCCATTTGTTTTAGTTGCGAATAGCGGGAATGCAATTACAGGAGCACACTAGTAACTTTATTCTACATGTAGGACCTATGTTACCCATGCAGATTTGTATGAAACAAGTATCTACTTTTACAGTGAGTTCCCATCTTTAGCAAGCAGTGCTGGATGGACTCTATTTCACACAACCCTATGCAGAAACCCTCCTATACCAGTGTTTATGGTTTCCGTTAAAATTAGATCCCACTGTAAAAACACAAAGCATCCACCCAGCAGATTAAAAAGAAAATGGTATGGTGCTGTACAACTGTTCCCTACCCAAAATCTCCCTTGTGCCTGTTCGCTAATGATTATTAGAATGAAACAAAAATTCTCTTTGGCAAAGCCACTTTCACAGACATAACAAACATAATGCTTCAAACTAGAAAAAAAAAATTTCTTCTGTGCAGAGGGGAATTATCAGTATTTCAGAAGGTTGGAGGTTTTTGTTTGTTTGCTTTAATATAGATTAACAACAGTGTGAAAAAATACCAGGAAAATATGTATTTCACACAAAATGATGTTAAAAAAATACATTGTGTGCTAGTTATATTTGGAAAATTATTATTTTATCCAAGGAATTGTTCCTATCAGCACAGCCCAGTTTTGCTTGATTGTACAACTTTTATTTTTGTCTGTGTAGGTCTACCTGATTCTCTGGACACTGAACGCCATGATGTTTTAGTAAATTTGAAACACCGACTTTCCAGACTTGAAGGCGGTAAGTATTTCCATTTTCACTTTTTCAGCTCACAATCAGTTTTAAGTGCAATAGGTAAAATTAATTATAAAATCATGACTTGCAGGAAAGAAACCGCACTTGAAAATGGTGCTACATCCCAAAACTCCCTTTTCTCATCCAAAGCAGGTAGCGATCAGGAATCATTTTTCCTGAAGATGATGATTTCTCTCAGGAACACTAATGCGCATTTATTCAAATTTGATTTATTAAAAAAAATATTGCACTTTCCACGTGGATTCATGGGAACTCCTCAGCTTTCTACCACGTTGCTAGCATTTTTATGTGTCAGCAGCCAGATTGTTAGAGGTGCTAAATTGTTTTTGTACTGAGAAGGAATTCACAAAAGTTATCATTTCTCTGTTTCACTTACTCAAATTTGGAGCAGACTGATCCTCTTTAGAAAGTACACACAATATAATAGGGCTGATAGTGTAGGTAGCAAATGTTAGTAGGGCACGCTTGTCTTGGAGAAGACAGTGACAGATGGTCGCAAACAGCATAACAGTATACGTAGTGAACAACTAGTGAATTGGTAAAATTTTAAAAATCTATTCCTCTTCATCCTTTACTCACAACTCTTGCCCTCTATTCCCTCCTCTGTTCCTCTTACAGCTTTTAATTTTCTCTACATCTCTTGATTTCTTTATCTTTGTTTCCTCTTTAATATGCCATAGGAAATTAAAAATCTAACTAGGTTTTTTCTTTTTATGTTTTAGTGCTTGCTTTGAATGGGAAAATAAGAGAAGTAGGAGACAAAATACTTGCCAGCAATGGGAGGGAAGTTGATTTTGCATCTGCTCTACAATCCTGTGAAGAGGCTGGAGGAACTATTGCAACTCCCAAGAATGAGGAGGAGAACAAGGCAATTTTGGGTATTGTGAAACAGTATAACCGATACGCTTACTTGGGCATTAAAGAAGGTCAGACTTCAGGTCAATTTATGTATATAAATGGCACGCCTCTGAATTATACCAAGTGGCACCAATATGAACCTAATGGCAAAGGGATGGAAAAATGTGTAGAGATGTACACTGATGGGAGCTGGAATGACAAAAAATGCAACGTGAATCGCCTCACAATCTGTGAATTTTAAAGAATGACCTTTCAGCCACCTCAGACTATGGAGAAAGTGAAATATCCTGTGTCTCAGGTTTATGTAATATCTGCAATTATTCTATGTCAGAAAATCTACAATCAATCATAGTATGGTATTTTTTATCCTTAAGAAAATGCCACATGTGCTAGGTGATTAACTTCATTAAAATGTGCCTAATCTGATGTGTTTCTCTCTTTTGGAGGGTTGGAAATAGCTCAGAATTCATTTTTCATGATAGACTATCTCTGTGCACTGTGCCTTTGTGAAGATTAGAGGAAAATTCGAAGGTTTGACTTGGGATATTGGAAAAGCCTGAAGTTAAAATTGCCTGTGGCTTCCCATTAGAAGCATTTCCAAGCATTTAATAGTTTCTGCCTTAAGAGATGCAGAGGTTCACATCACTGAAGCAATTGTGGTCTCAGGTTCTGTACATCTCTTTGAACTGTAGGGGTTGCATTGTGTCGTACTGAAGCATGCACTGATTCATTCAGCATCCGTATTTAACTTTTTTTTATAAAAACATTAACAGTGCCAGTTACAATGAATTTTCTGAGTTTCAGAAGCTACTCTGTATAAAGCACTAAGACGAAACATTGCCTTAGATCCACATAGACATAAATATGCTTATGAAATCCTAAAGATTGCATTTTGTTGCTAGAAGATCACATTGTCTCCTAAATCTATGGCCACTGTGGTGTTAGAAGGCCACCTGTCTTCTCACAAACCACTGAACAATCACATACTATTTTGGGAGAGCAGGTAAGATTGGAAGTTGAATCAGTTCAAACACAGACTATGTCTCTGCTGATGTCATGACAAACCACTACACAGTCAGATCATGACTCAAATCTGCTAGGATCAAGAAGCATCTTTTCACAAAATATTTCCGCTGCTACTCCATTTGGGTAGCTGGCGAGCAGCAGGTGCTCAGGAAAGTACCACAAGCAGCAAATTCTCACACACTTACCTTGCCGTGAGGAAGTCCTGGCTTCATCCGTTATCATTTTCACCACCCCTGAGGAAAAAAAAAAAAGAGGCACTGGAGTTGAGTTAAAATACATGCATAAACACTTTTTCTTCGTCTTCTCCTCCTCCCCTACATTTGGCTCTGTGCAGGGAGCCCATAGGAACCTGGCTTTGACTCTGGGCGGTGTTGTCCCTTGTCCCTACCCTGCATTGAGGAAGAGATGCGATCTGTCCACATGGTCATTTCAAGTCCTGTCAAGTAGGAAAGCGTTAGTGTCTTCAGACACGGGAGGTAAGGGGTTACTTTTGGCAGCAGAGGATTCAAGTCCAGCATGTCATATAGCGCTCCAGCTGATCTCAGAGTGGACAGGAACTTTGCAATGGGGAAAGTACACCCAGTACCACCTCGGATAGATTTCAAAGTGTGAACCCGCTTTACAAAATAGCTTCCTTGGAGACCTATACCGTTTTGGCCAAAAATTTCAAATGGGAAGGGAATAGATCATCATAAAAGATATTATCATAACGGATAAAGATTCTGACTCTCAGGTTACTTTGAGAAAAGATAAAGCTAAACTGATACCGTTTAGTTTTCCTAGGCTTAGCCCTGACCAACTGCACTAAATCTGCCAGAAAGAGTTGAAGGTTTACCTAAAACTACCTCTACCTCTTGTGTTTTAATTATTAGTATTTTAATGAGTAAAACCAGTTAGAAATTTTTGAGTCTTTCACCTGTACAGATTCTTGGTTAGAGCAAGATAGCTACCTGGCAAAAGAAGGCATCATGCTGCAGGAAGACCAAAAAAATAATCACTCTACTAACATGAAATTTTATTATCTGAACCAAGTTCACATATTCATTTACACAGATCTCCACCTAGGTTTGGAGTATCCTATTCCTTTAGTTAACCAAAAATTTATTTCTACCACATTTGTGTTTACAAAGCGACTATACAAATCTCTTGTTAAAATCCTTAATGTGTAAAATCTTACAAATGGCTTAACGCAATATATCACCTATCTCTAAACATATTTAGCCTTCAAGACACTTGGGTGCTTTTCATCCAGTTATGAGAAATAAGATTTTTTTTTCAGTCACAAGCTAATTTTTATTACATCAATAAGCAAAGCATCTAAGCTAGGTCTCAGAGTCCAATATCTTTCTGATTAAGCCATTACTATTAGGAAAAAAAAAAAAACAACAACAAATCAAACACACATGCTGCTTAAAAATAAAATCTTCTCAGATACAGTCAAAGAACTGCACGGCAACACTTTCCCCTCTGTGGTTCACACTGAAATCTGTAATGTTTCAGGTAATTGAATGAAACTCCTCAATTATTTTCACACAGTATGTCCATAATATCATACCTAGCTCTTCTCTTGTTATGCTCTAGCCTTCCCCTTATACCATTCTGAAGCAGCCCTCCTTGTTCTGTGTCCAAAGTCTTGACTAAGCCTCATGTATAAAACTGAAGATATCATGGGAACATCACCAATTTCCTACCTTCTTTATAAAAAAAAAAAAAACCCTATGTCTACATTCTTTTGCATGGACTTTTATCTCCTAACTTTTGTGAACTTCAGAGGAAAAAAAAAAAAAGGTCCAATGTCAACCATCATACGTAGAAGAAATAAAATTCCCTAATAAAAGCAATATTCTACAGACAGGCTTGGAATGCATTTGTGTCTCATGGTATTCATATGTGGCAATTAAATCCTAGTGAAGGTACACACTCAGTACAATGTGACTTGATTATTCTTTGCAGTTCCACAGAGGAAAAGTATCCGGAAATCATTATTTTGTTCTTTTAGATGACTTTTTTAATGTGTATATAACCCTACCAATTGAAATCCTCAAATGTCGTTTAACACACTTATAAGCATTTCAGACTATTCTTTGTGAAAGATCCAAATTCTGCATTTATGTATTAATGGATTTTATTATTTTTTTTTATGGACAGAGAGGTCAGGCACAAGAATAAATAGAATAAATTGTTTCTCTGTTTTGTTATTATAGTATAAATAATTTTGGTAAAATCATTTCTTAAAAATGCAATGAGCAAAAATAATCCTTGGTGCATAAGGACTAAACAAGGAAAAACCCAAGTTAGACTTTTTTTTCTTAATTTGTAATAATTTGCTACAGAAAAGCAATCTAACAGTAAGATCTTTAATTCAGAGAATAACTTATTCACTTCTCAAGGGTTATAAAAGCAGATTTTGAGAATTAAGATCTTCATACAAGTTAAAAGGTCACAAAAATTCAATCCCTCCTGAAGCAAATGGATTGCGTATCACACAAGAGAAATTTAATACAATTGTTATTACAGTATATTTAACAGTGAGAGTTTTGTCAGGCCATAAAAAAGATGGATATTGATTTCAGAGAGAATTCTCTCTGGTCTAGAGTGATATCCTGTTTTATATCTGTATAATGTAGTTAGGTGGTTTAGCTTAGAAATACTATTAGCAATTTTGAGCACTCAAAAAACCTCTCCCCCGTCCCTGTTAATGCCTCCCTCATGTAAAGAAATTGACCTTCGATTACAGCAAATAACTGGGTTTTTTGTGGCTTCCTGATTTTTTGTAGAAATTTGATTTGAAAAAACCAAGCCCCATGGTTCTTTGGAAAACTGAGTTCAAATTCAACCTTGTGTGAATGTAATAACTGGCAGGACATGACACAAGCTGGCCAAGGCTACCTTATCTTGTATAAATTGAGACCAGTGCCTCCTTTATTTTTATTTTTTAATTTTGAAGCCAAATTTAAAGAATAATTGTGTTGTTCCTCTTGTTCTTTTCGAGAGAAAAGAACATACGTGGTGGAAAAATACTGGTGCTTGCTGCCGCAATATCCCAGCAGTGCTGCAAATACGAAGTGGGGTAAAGGTTATTCATACATTTTACATTTATTTGCAGCTTTTCCTTGGAAGAACGATAAGTGCAAATAGCAGAAGAAATATTTGCCACTGGGAAGTTTGTTAGCTGGTTTTGAAACCACACTGAGAAGTGGTAGAAAGACTAATGGCAGCCCTACAACTCTTATGAACAAAGAGGAAAACCATGTCTTGGGAGTGTTGTATAATGCTACAACAGACATGTTTGTCTGGACCTCAAAGAGTGTCAGATTGCAAGTGATTTTTCATTATCAGTGGTTGAAGTGTACTGTTATAAAATCATATTAACCTACAGTTATGCAAACATGCCTGGGTTTAACGCACAATCAATACAGGATGCTTGGAAATTAAGAGTAGCACCCTTAAAAATGATAAGTGGACTTGGGTTTGGTTTGAAGTCCCTGTTA